TCAACATGGTTGGGGGAGGAGGAATTATGAATCTATTTCTTTTAGTTTAGCCATATGTTTGTATGTTTACCAGAAATGACATACATCTTTCAACTCAGGTATCTTGGACTTAGCTTTGAACTTCCCAGGATTTCACCGGTGGAAGTTCACTGATGTGCTAAGAAATATTCTGAAAGTTATAGTCAGTCTTGCTTGGGCTATTGTTCTTCCCCTATGCTATCTTCATACTTTCAAGATGGTTTCTAATAAATTCAGAGACGTGCTGTCCTTTCTTAACTCGTTGAGGGGCATTCCTCCTCTATATATAGTGGCGGTTGCTCTGTATTTGCTGCCAAATTTACTTGCAGCAGCTCTATTCTTATTTCCTATGCTTCGGCGTTGGATTGAAAACTCAGATTGGCACATTATTAGATTTCTTCTTTGGTGGTCTCAGGTAGAGATGCTGCTCAATTCTCTCTCTCTCTGTGTTTCTCTTCCTCCCTTCTTTGTCCATATGTGCTTCATCAAATAAATACATTTTGACCACTTACGACTGACGCAAGCATATACCTTGATTGCTATTCTCATGCACCCCTTTAAAATAGTGTACTAAAAAATTGTAACCTAATTATTCTGCTGAAACCTTGTTTTCATCCGGATTACGAATATATTCTTTTATCTTCATAATTACGAATTTAGCTGTGGCGTAAGACTTTGGTGCCATACTAAGGATCGTGATCCTCATTTATGGTGTGCTTACACCAGCTTGTCTGTAATATGTTTATCCTCTTTTCCCTTTCCTTTGAGTTTCTACAAATATGCAATCATGAAAATTTAGAACCATTTTGACCTTATCAAGGTGAAAAAACATGTCTCATGATTTCGGTCTACATGTGTTTTTAACCATATGTTTTTCTCATCTAAAAAGAGTCCAGGATGCATATAATCTTCTTATTTGAGAACTGTGTTTACTCTTTCTGCAGCCAAGAATATATATCGGAAGAGGAATGCATGAAAGTCAATTTACTCTTATAAAGTGAGTTTGACAGGCTATGGATCTCATTTTTTCCTAATTCTTTATTTTTGAAATTACAAATTCTATTTTCTTGATTAGTTGGTATGCGTTCCATGATTAGACATATTCTCTTATTTCAGGTATACCATCTTTTGGGTGTCTCTTTTGTGCTGCAAATTTTCTTTTAGCTACTTTGTTCAGGTAATTCATTTTCAAAATGGAAGGGATAGTAATTGCAGTAGTTAAATATATAGAGGTTTAATCAGTGTGGATCTCTAACCTTTTTCTATTTAATCCCTTCAGATAAAGCCATTGGTGAAGCCAACAAAAGATATAATGAGTATTCGCCGAGTGGAATATGAATGGCATGAATTTTTTCCTAAAGGTGCTTGTTTCCCGCATGAGCATTCACTTTAATGCTTTGATTAATTTTGCTTGTGCTGAAGGTTTCTTTTCAATACAGCCAAGAACAACTATGGGGCAGTTGTATCACTGTGGATGCCAATAATTTTGGTGTGTTTTCTATTCACTTCTTTGTTTTTGCTTTATTCCATTGCTGTAAAATGTAGGTGTATTATCTTGGATAAAGCCTCTTGTACTTTTTTATTTAAATGCAGGTTTATTTCATGGACACTCAAATTTGGTATGCTATGTTTTCGACCATATATGGTGGTTTCATTGGAGCATGTGATCGATTAGGAGAGGTAATGTTTTTCTTGTTTAACCATATTTTTTTTCTATTTATCTTATGAGGGGACACATCATCCTTAATGTAATATCCGTTCACATTTTTCTCCATCCTCCTATTACCCTAGCAAGCATAATAATGTGGTATCTTCTAATGTCTCGGACTGGGTTAGAAATGACTACTTTTTAATCTGTCCGAAGATTATGATGAAAGTAATTATTTTAATTGCATCTTTTGGTTTGAAACTATTACACTGCACTAACTGTTGCATTCAATTGAAGCGCAAGTATTTCCCGTGGTGATAGAAGAATATTCAACAATGTTTCTCTAAGTCACTTATTTTATTTAAGCATAAATGTGTACTTGATTGGTCTGTATCATTGGTTTGATTTGGCTGTTCTTCTCATTACAGATACGAACTCTAGGTATGCTTAGGTCTAGGTTTCAGTCCTTACCAGGTGCATTCAACGCATACTTGGTGCCATCAGATAAGTCTCGGAAAAGGGGCTTCTCTTTGTCAAAGCGTTTTGCTGAGGTTGCTCTTTTATTTTTGGAATTTTCATTTTCTCTAAGATGTATAAAATCAGTGGTTCAAACATTATGTATTAGTAATTACTATTTTGTTTCTGTGTAGATTACCACTAGCAGGAGAAGTGAAGCTGCCAAGTTTGCACAGTTGTGGAATGAAGTGATATGTAGTTTTCGAGAGGAAGATCTAATAAGTGACAGGAAAGACTGCATAAACTAAGTTATCTTTTACTTCTTCATTTCAAGCGTTCTTTTAGTCATATTGTTAAAACTAAACTGAATTTCAAATGAATCACAGGGAGATGGATCTCTTGCTAGTTCCTTATTCATCAGATCCCAGCCTAAAAATAATCCAGTGGCCTCCCTTTTTACTAGCCAGCAAGGTCGATATAGTTCCTTATGTTTTCCTTGATGTATATCTTACCTTTTCAATTTTTGGACATATTAGTAGTGACTATTAACAACTTCTTTACCTCTGCAGATTCCAATAGCATTGGACATGGCTGCTGAATTCCGATCCAGGGACTCTGACCTCTGGAAGCGTATTTGTGCAGATGAGTACATGAAATGTGCAGTGATCGAGTGCTATGAATCTTTCAAAAATGTCCTGAATGTTCTGGTGGTTGGAGAAAATGAGAAAAGGTTCTAAGCTACAGTTTCTTCTTATTGAATCAAACATCATCAAATGATCATAGTTTCCGTTTCCTGCAAAGAGAAGACATGCAAAATCAAAATCGAACCTTAAGTTCAATATGATTTAAAACCTAGTACTTAATATGAGGGAGAAATTTCAGCATGGGATTTTGCAAGTAATAGATCATCATTTACTTCATTGCCTCTCAACGTATAGGAGGAAAAAATTAAATATTTCTTAATCGGAACGACTTTCATCTATTGTTGTTTATGGATGACTTGCAAATATTTTATGAGTACCAATCATCCAGGGTTGAGATAATGCGTAAACTGCTACTCTGTGTCTGCAAGATGCTATAACTACTCGGTGAAATGGGAATCTGTGTCAATTGTTTACGTGAATTCTAATTCTCTTTGGCATTAACAGGATTATTGGAACCATTATTAAAGAAGTTGAAAACAATATTTCGAAGAACACACTTCTCACAAACTTCAAAATGGGTGCTTTACTCATTCTGTGCCAGAAATTTGTGGAACTCGTGGAGATCTTGGTAAGATAAGATGCAACTCTAAAGTATCTGCTGGTCTATTCTTTCAGATTGGAAACTTTGCTCTTGATTTCCTGTTTCAGAAAGATGGCGATTTATCCAAGCAAGATACAGTGGTGTTTTTGCTGCAAGATATGTTAGAAGTTGTCACTCGAGATATGATGCTCAACGAAGTCCGGTTAGCAAATATATTTTCTGTAATTTGAAGTTTATTTAATTATGTCATTGGCATCCTTAAATGGCTACTGTTATATACTAAAATGGTGATCCTTTCCTTTGTTAAATCTTTCAGTGAAATGGTAGAACTGGGTCATAACAAGGACTCCGGAAGGCAACTCTTTGCTGGTACTGACACTAGACCTGCCATAAACTTTCCTCCTACAGTTACAGCTCAATGGGAAGAGCAGGTGGGCATATTGAAAATAAATAATATTAATTTTGAGAAATTATCTATCATTCTTTGATTTTAATCGATTGAAACAAAACAATCTTGTCTTTTTGGGGTATGTCAGATTAGACGCCTCTATCTACTACTGACTGTGAAAGAATCTGCCACCGAAGTTCCTATAAATCTTGAAGCACGAAGAAGGATTGCATTTTTCACAAATTCATTGTTTATGGATATGCCACGTGCTCCACGAGTCCGTAAGATGTTATCATTCAGGTCTGTTCTTTAACTATATTTGAGCAGTAAGTATATGTCTATTCTATTTGGAGAAGTTCTTTCTGAATTTGAAATTGGATGCATCATCCTATACTGTATGCTTGTCGCTGAGGAATCTATGATTCAAAATCCTAGGTTACAAACTCACAATAAGTTATAAATGTACTGGCAGCATTATTAAACATATATTCATGTTTTGTGTCTAATAACTGCAAGAACTGTTTTTCTTTTAATCTTTGATATAAAAATTAGAGATTTTGTACAACCTCCTTTAATAAAAATTAAATTTTCGTTTTTCTTAAGAAAAATCTTGTGTTAAACATTAAATGTTACAAGTTTACCTCAGTTTTTTTTGTACTTAATAATATTCTTGGCCTGTTGACAGCATTATGACTCCGAAATATAGTGAAAGAGACTGTCTGTTCTAAAACTAACCCTAAGATGAATATTTTTGGGTTGTCAACAGCATTAAGACAACAAAATATAGTGAAAAGATTGTTCTGAATCTGACTCTAAGATGAATATGTTTGGATTGTGAACAGCGTCATGACTCCATACTATAGTGAAGAGACTGTCTATTCCAAAACCGACCTTGAGATGGAAAATGAAGATGGTGTCTCCATCATATATTACTTGCAGAAGATCTTTCCAGGTGAGTGATAGAACTAGAACCGGCCCAAATATCTCTTGGTTCTTTGATAAGTGATTTCTGTGACTTGTCTCATGAACGTTTGCCTTCCTGCTAGATGAATGGAACAACTTCATTGAGCGACTCAATTGTAAAAAAGACAGTGAGATTTGGGAAAATGAAGAAAACATATTACACCTCCGTCATTGGGCCTCCTTACGAGGGCAAACTCTATCCAGAACAGGTAGCTTAAATGCATTACAGCTACTGTTGAGTTGATTTGTGCACTTATATCGCTGGCATTAACACATTTATTGCAGTTAGGGGTATGATGTATTATCGAAGGGCTCTAAAGCTTCAGGCGTTTCTTGACATGGCTTCTGAGAGTGGTAAGCCTGTTCATGTTGACATTTTGAGTGGTTTAGATGTCTTGTTTTCTTATCAGCACTGTCCGTGTGCTTCTTTCTAATGAGTATTAACTAACCATGGTTTCCTTAATGATTGTTTTGTTAATAATAGAGATACTTGAAGGCTACAAAGCGATCACAGTTCCGTCAGAAGAGGATAAAAGAAGCCAGCGATCCTTGTATGCTCAATTAGAGGCCGTGGCTGATATGAAATTCACATACGTTGCTACTTGCCAGAACTATGGGAATCAGAAACGAAGTGGGGATCGTCGAGCAACAGATATCCTGAATCTGATGGTTAAGTATGTTCACCAGCCTCTTTAGTCATTTTCAAACTTCGTTTTGCTTGGTGCAATTGATCAAAGAAACTTTTCCTTCCCCTTCACTTTCTTTTTTGGCACAGTAATCCCTCTCTTCGGGTGGCTTATATTGATGAAGTCGAAGAGAGAGAAGGTGGAAAAGCACAGAAAGTCTACTATTCTGTATTGGTCAAAGCTGTTGACAATCTTGACCAGGCAATCATTAGTTAAACTCAAGGATAAAAATGTTAATTCACGTTACCATTAGAGTAATCTTGTTTTCTTTGCTCTTATTAACAGGAAATATATCGGATTAAGCTGCCTGGTATAGCTAAGATTGGAGAAGGGAAACCTGAAAATCAGAACCACGCTATAGTTTTTACCAGAGGTGAAGCACTTCAAGCAATTGACATGAATCAGGTGAACCATCAAAACCAATATTTGACTACTTGCTTTTTAGTTATGGCTTAGATGCTTAATAATGATGGTTAACTTTCTGGATCCCTTCTAGGATAATTACTTGGAAGAAGCTTTCAAAATGCGAAACCTTTTAGAAGAGTTCAATGAGGACCATGGTGTTCGTCCACCTACAATTTTGGGAATGCGTGAACATATCTTTACTGGAAGGTTAGCTTTATTTCTGAGCAAGTGCTATGAAAAGCTGTATGTCTTCTGTCTAACTTCAATTGTTCGCACACTGCAGTGTTTCTTCTCTGGCTTGGTTTATGTCAAATCAAGAAACTAGCTTCGTCACAATTGGTCAGAGGGTTCTGGCAAGGCCGTTAAAGTATGCTTTTCTTCTCGTACTTGATTAATTTCACATATCTCACCCAACAATACATTATTCATATTTGAAAGCAAAGCGGTCTCTGGAAAACTGTACCCGAGATTCTAAGTTGTTGATGGATCTACATATTTCAAAATAAACTAAATCACCTTTAGATAGTAGGAAAAACAAAGCAGAACTGAAGGATGCAAAACTTTTAGAGTTAGAATATGTTGCATCAACAAATTTTTAATTTAAAATTTCTTGTAATACCTTAACATGGAAGGATTGATCTTTTATATTTTTTCTGGAGAATGGTGAATATTTGAGAGGGAGAAATACTAGATTGAACATGATGAATTTGTCTGTTGCTCAGTTGTCAGTCCAACTAAATGTGAACATATTTTGTTTGCACATCTATAACATGTATTGGCTGGTTGTAGGGTGAGGTTTCACTATGGTCATCCTGATGTTTTTGATCGAATCTTCCATATTACCCGTGGGGGCATGAGCAAAGCTTCTCGAGGCATCAATCTCAGTGAAGATATCTTTGCTGGTATTATTCTTTACACTCCACATCCAGTAGTCAATGGAATTTTTCTTCTCGATTTTTATTATATATTTTAAATATTTCCTCCATAGGCTTCAACTCAACATTGAGACGAGGAAATGTAACCCACCATGAGTATATTCAAGTTGGGAAGGGAAGAGATGTTGGTCTTAATCAAATCTCTCTTTTTGAGGCAAAGGTAGCTTGTGGTAATGGAGAGCAAATTCTCAGCAGAGACATCTATCGTCTGGGTCATCGTTTCGACTTTTTCCGCATGCTGTCTTTCTATTTCACAACAGTAGGATTTTACATCAGTGCCATGGTAAGTTTTTATATATCCAAATGTTTTTTCTTTGGCTTCTTAACTAATCTGCATATTTTATTTCATTTATTAGCTTGGAAGTTTCTCCTGTGCCTTGATTATTTGTTCCTTTTGTCATGCAGTTGATTGTGATGACAGTATATGCTTTCTTATACGGAAGACTTTATCTGTCATTGAGTGGATTGGAGAAGTCCATAATAAAATATGCTAGGTCAAAAGGAGATGATCCTTTAAAGGCTGCCATGGCTTCACAATCAGTTGTCCAGTTAGGTCTTTTAACTGCCTTGCCAATGATCATGGAAATTGGGCTAGAGAGAGGGTTCAGAACTGCAATAGGTGACTTAATAATCATGCAGTTACAACTAGCTTCCGTTTTCTTCACCTTCTCTCTTGGCACAAAGGTCCACTACTATGGGCGCACAGTCCTCCATGGTGGGGCAAAGTACAGAGCTACAGGTCGTGGTTTTGTTGTGCGGCATGAAAAATACGCTGAGAACTATAGGATGTATTCAAGGAGTCACTTTGTGAAAGGACTAGAGCTTATGATATTGCTTATAGCTTACCAGATATACGGATCATCTGCAACTGATACTGTAGCTTATCTTTTAGTCACATCCTCAATGTGGTTCCTGGTTATTTCCTGGTTATTTGCCCCTTTCCTTTTCAACCCTTCAGGTTTTGAATGGCAAAAGATAGTGGATGATTGGGATGATTGGTCAAAATGGATCAACAGCAGAGGTGGTATTGGTGTGCCTGCAAATAAAAGTTGGGAGTCCTGGTGGGACGAGGAACAAGAACACCTTCAGCACACTGGCTTCGTTGGACGCTTCTGGGAAATCGTTCTATCTATCCGATTCTTTCTCTATCAGTATGGAATAGTGTATCATCTACATGTGGCTGGAAATAACAAAAGCATCACCGTAAGCCTCTAATTATTATTTCTTTTTTTATCATTATCTGATTTAATATATAACAGGAGATTTATCGACTGTCCATGGTTGAGGCCTCTTTATATTCTTTTATAAATTTCAGGTGTATGCATTGTCCTGGCTTGTCATTGTTGCCGTGATGGTTATACTTAAGGTTAATGATTGAACTCCAATGACTTTTCCTGCATCAAAGAAACCCTATTTATGTCCATAATTACTCACTGACGAACGTTTGGACTGCAGATTGTGTCCATGGGTAGAAAGAAATTCAGTGCAGACTTCCAGCTAATGTTCAGACTTCTGAAGTTGTTCCTGTTCATTGGATCAGTGGTGGTAGTAACGATGCTCTTTACGCTTCTCCATCTCACGGTTGGCGACATTTTTGCAAGCATTCTAGCCTTCATGCCCACCGGGTGGGCCATTTTGCAAGTATGTCACCTAAAAACCCTACGCAGCCCTCACTTTGGTATATATATATAATTTTATTAGGAGTGTTGTGTTGTTTTATGGTGGTTGTAGATAACACAAGCATGCAGACCTGTTATGAAGGCAGTGGGAATGTGGGGATCAGTGAAAGCTCTAGCCAGAGGGTACGAGTACTTGATGGGCATTGTCATTTTTGCACCCGTGGCCATGCTCGCCTGGTTCCCTTTCGTGTCGGAGTTCCAGACCAGGCTCCTCTTCAACCAAGCATTCAGCAGAGGTCTCCAAATCCAAAGGATTCTGTCCGGTGGCAAGAAGAACAAGTGAAACCCAAATCAAACCTCATTGCTATGCTAGTCTTCATAAATGGAACGCCACGTCCCAACGATTATCAAGCTCAACCTCAAGCTCAAGTTCATGCTCAATGAGATGCTTTGGCGTCGCTTTCCTCTTCTATCAGCCTCTCCCTTATTATATATTATAGTTTCTAATATAATATTAGTATCACTCAATACTACATTTTATGCGTATTACATAAAAAAAACCCACCGCAATTTTTCTCTATATTAAATCATAGTATAGTTGTACCCATTCCCATTTGAGCTCTTCTTCGAATACCCCTAGATCTCATATTCTTGTACGTTGAAGGCAGTGCTCATTCTTTTTTTATTTTATGAGAAATAAATACAGTTAATATCTTTTTCTTATGAAAATGGCTTTACTCTCTCCATGTACTCTTACAGCAACGTCTTAGCTAAAATGATTCATCAAATGGATTGCATAATTAAAAATTATGCAAGGTCTTCAACCATAATTACTCACCTAATTACCTAATCAATCACTTGGGATTTAGATATTATTAACATAATAGGCTTACGGAACAACGACGTAAACATTAATTAATCGCCCACGCTTTTGTTATCATTAACAATAAGGAATTAATGCATCCATTAATTAAAATTTAAAATTTAAAAGTTTAAAAGTTAAACGAATTCCAGAAGAAACCCAACCCCACCTTTACCATACTTAAAAATCTTATCCCAAAAGACTTTTCTTATTAAGATTCAATGTGGAAATACACATTCAATCTAACGACACATCAGGTGCATGAAGTCCAATGCACCTTCTCCAATAACTAAAACCCACCATACACGTGTCCAGCGAAGACGCCATTGCCCACAAGGGGGATTAACCAGGAGAGTGTGCCAACGTGGGCAGGCGTGTGTTGGCCAGTTATAGAGGGAAGGAAAGGCACGTCATCGTCAATCCATCCGTCAGCGCCCACGTGTCCCCGAATCAAAATGGTTGGTAGTAGACACGTGGGTGAGTGATGGACCAGTGGCAGATGCCAAGTTGTCAACGTCCTCATCTTCAATCAAATTAATATCTATATATAAATCCATGAAATTGGAAAGGGCATTTCATTCATTGTCGTCCCCTTGCCATAAACAGCCAGAACCCATTTGGATCGGTCGTTTCTAGAGAGCTCAATCTGTGTTGGTGAAAGAAGATCGAAAGGCAATAATGGAAAGAATCGACAGAAAGTCATCCATTGAGAACGAGCCAAGAACTCTCAAAATGCACCAAATCCAATTTGCAAGAGTAAGAAGAACAACACTTCATCATGCTTTCTTTTTCTCTACTTTATAAATCATTCATTCTTTTGTTGTAAATAATGATACAACTTCGCCATGAATTTCAT